CCCCCCCCCCCCCCCACCACATACATGCATACATCTGGTGGGGAGAGGAGGGAGGGCGAGGGGGGGTTTCTGCCCATAGAATGAGAGAACACCGACAGTGGCACCACAACCCATGGGGGGGATTGGGGGGGGGGGGGGGGAGGGTAAGGCTATAGGTCTGTCTGGCCGTAGGTCCGTCCAGGGAGCTCACAGGGAAGGGTGTGTGGGGGGGATTCTGTTCTTTTTGCCACCATCATTCACTATCGCTGGGAAATGAGATCCTCAGGTGAGGGCACAGATGATGATATGATGATGGTTTTTTTTGGTTTTGGTTTTATCTTTTCCTCTTTAAAATGGGATGCATTGGGTTTTTTTTTTTTCCCTTTATAATTTTGCATTCGTTGTCTCTTCCCTGTGGTTAAATGAGATTTGGAGGGGTGGGGGTGGGAGGGGGGCTCAACACAACAACAAGAGAAAGCTCGGCCGGGCCGGGATGGGGACAGGGATGGGATGGGGGGGTGCCCCAGGCCGGTGCCCATTGGGGGTACAGTCGGCATCGGGGTTGGGGAGGGGACTGGCGGCATTTTCTTTTAACTGCTGCTCTCCTCTTCTGTTTTATTGAGCTTCTTCAGCGTGTCCAGCAGCTTCTGTGGGGTGAGGATGTGCGTGGACCCTGTGGGGCAGAAGGGGCCCAAGGGGTCAGCGCTGCTGTTGTATTTCCCCCCCCCCCCCCCCCCCATCCCCCCCAGCTCCATGCCCCGCTCCCCATGGGGTCCCTGGTCCAGTCCCATGCCAAGCGAGGTCTTACCTGGAAATGCTTGCAGAGAGATGGACACCCATGGGGGCTTGGAATGGGGAAAGGGAGGGAGTGGGAGGGATGAGGGGATGGATGGAGTTGGAGGGTGGTGGGATGGGGGGAGGGATGATGAAGACCCTCCTGTCCTCTGCCCGCATGCAGTAGATCCTACTGAGTGCCACCACAGGCACTGGGGGGGGGACACTGCACTGCAAGGGGGAGCTCGGTGGGATGAGCATCCCTGGGTTAAGAGAGGTTGGAAAAGAGGAGAGGGGTGGGGAGATGCTGCCTGCTGCAGCCCCGCTCCTTCACGGCTGCCCCCCCCAGTCCCTTCCCTGGGTGTCCCCATGTTCCCACTTTGCCTGGGGGCTGCACAATGCTGGGACGTGGAGCAGGACCTGACTGGCAGCCCCATGGACGAGATGTCACCGTCCCCATATACCCCGCTGGGGACCACACACGGTCCCAGCTCCATCACAGGACGCAAAGAATCCAACAAACCCATCATGTCCTGCAGAACCAAGAGCTCACACCCATCTCTCCCTGAGCACGAGGACACCGCTCTGCACCTCCCCGAGTGGGGGGAGCCCATCTGCACTATGGGGAGCGCATGGCATGGAGGGGCTGCAGGACCAGGCATGGCAGCGGTGAGAACTGCAAGCATTTTCTCATCCAAAAATCAAAATCATCAAAAGGAAAAAGCAAAAAAAACCCAAATCATAACGAAAGAACGGAAGAATCAAAGAAAGCCCTTCAGGGAGGAAGAGTTTCTTTTTTCGTTAGTTGGCTGCCTTTACTTGGTTGCTTGGGCTCACTCCATTGCTGGAGCCTGATCCTCAAATGAGACCCTAGTGGAGTCCCTGAAGTCGGGGTGCCTCAGGTCCATGAGAAATTTGGTGGGAGTGAGAATGTGAGTAGAACCTGCGGGAGAACAGAGTGGGCTGACGGCCCGGCCGTGCCCCAGGGGGAGCAGCATGCACTGGGCCGGGGGGCTCAGGTGTGGGTTCTGTTTTTGGGGTGCAGACAAGGGATGTGCTGCCTGCCCAGAGCACGCGGGGTCGGTCGCGGAGCGGTGTGAGATGAGATGGGTGAGATGTGGAAGGGGTTGGCACATAGATGGGGGCAACGAGGGGCTGCCCCTGCCTGGCCTGGGTCTGCCCTGCTCCCCTTTGGGACCTGGGGGGCTGCCCCTACCCACGGTCCTGCTGTGCTGTGGTGCTGGATGCCTGTGCCATGGCTGCACCCACAGGCAGAGGGTGCTGGGAGGGCACTGTACGTGCACTGCACATCCTGCATGCCCCACTGCTTGTGCAGCACGTCTCACTGCACACACGCTGCACGCCCTGCTGTACATGTGGTAGGTGCTGTGTCACACAGGTGTGCACAGCCTGCTGCACATAGTGCTGCCTGACTGCACACGCAGCACACACCGTGGTTGGTGCGCCAGCTTGTACAGCCATTTCTCCTTGCAACAACCCCCACGACGTCCACACAACAGCCCTTGCAACAGGAGGCTGCAAAACGCCCTCTTCCTCCACCAGCTCTGCCCGTGCTTCAGGCAACAAAACTCATCAGGGAGATATAAAGGGGGCAAAGAGAGGGGCAGCACGGGGGGGGGGGGGGGCCCGAAACCGGGACCCCCCCCCGCCCTGCTCACGTGGTCACCTGGAGGCCGACGCTGCAGGGTGAGAGTGGGATGAGCAGCAGGGAGTTGGGCAGGGCCCCCACTCACCTATTAGCACCTCCCACTTGCCGCTGGCTTGCGTCACCTCATAGGCGCAGCGCATCTCGTTCATGCTCACCCCCCCCCAGGATGAAGATGATGAGGCGGGGGCCGCTGCGGTACTCGCCGGGGGCCTTGTTCTTGTGCCAGTGGCCGTAGCGAGCACTAGAGATGGAGAGAGGGGTTAGGAAAGGAAACCGAGGCACGGGAGGCTTGTGTATAGGGGGTGATGTGTCACAGCCCCCCTGCTCACAGAGGATGGCACCAGGGGGACCCACCTGACAGCCGTGGTGCTGAAGGAGGCAGAGGAGCGGGTGGAGATGTACGGGTAGTGCTTGGTGTCCAGCTTGTCCTCGATGGCATCCTGCAGGGGAACGGCCACATAGGGCTCAGCCGAGTGTCCCCATCCCCAGCCCTTGGTGGCCCTACCCCCAAGCCCCTGCAGCACTGATACTAAGCAGGCAAAGCCCCATTGGTGCAGTGGGGCTGGGTTCAGCTCTGATCTGGGAGCGAGCTTTGGGGGGGTAGGGGGGAGCTGGGCACAAAACGAGGTGAGTGCATTTGTGCAGTTTAAGAACTATTAAAGCTGGGGCAAGCAGGGGCTAGGCTGCAGTGACGTCCCACCAAAATATGGCCCTGGGTTGGTCTGTCTGTTGGTGTGAGCAGGTGGGAGATGCTCACATCATTGGAGCGTAGGCTCGGTGCCTGCAGAGCCCCAGCCAAGCCCCATGAGGACACTCTGATCCAAGAGGTACCCAAGGGGATGCAGCAAGGATGAAGAAGAGGTAATCCATGCTTTGGCTATCCCAGTAGGTTGGGGCTTTGCATTGTGGGGTTGCATAGGAGCTGTGCCAGCACTGTGCAAGCCCAGCTGGGGCTGTGCAATGTTCATGTAGGACCAGGAACACTTTCACAAACATCCCCACCTTGCTGCAATCACAACAGAACTGCAAGTACCGGCACTGCAGGGCACGTGCTGGGGATATGTGCTGGGATCTGGGCTGGTCCCCAGTGCATGCCCAATCACCACCTCACCTCCATGATGTCCTTAATGACAGGGGTCCACCGGGACAGCTGGTAAGTCTGCTCGCTGATCCGCTCCTTCCGCTCCGGCTTGCTCCGGCGCCGCAGGGTGGACTGAGGACGGCGGGGATGGGGACACAGTGAGACACAGGGTCACTCCATGGGGATGTGTGCAGAGCTGGGGGGTGGACACTCACGTCTGTGATGATGGGCACCCCGAGGTGGGCCATGTTGGTGATGATCTCGCTGTCCTCAGCCGGGATCTGGGCGTGCTGGATCAGCTTGTTCAGGTTCTCCTCGGTGATGCCTGCGTGAGAAACGGGTGAGCATCATCTCCCTGGGACACCCACCTCAGTGGCCATTACATTTGTCTCCTCCTTGCCCCCTTCCTGCACACCCCCTCTCACCATTCTTCAGGAAGATGTAGAGCAGGATGATGCGGATCTTGTCATAGGTGCTGACGTTCCCATCCAGCAGGATGGGGACAATGGCCCTCATGGGATCTTTGATCTTCTCGCCTTCAGCATCGGTGCCCATGGCCAGGTCCTGCAGAGCACACGCCCATCACCGAGGCTCACATGTGGCACTGAGTTGCAGTCCCCATGGGGTGCAGGGAGGTGGCAGGGGGACAGTACCTGTTCCACCCGGCACAGCTTGTCCACCGTGCCCTGGTAGTGCTTCATGCAGTCCTCAGCCAGGTGCAGGTGAGTGGAGTACTGCAGAGACACCAGTGGTGTGGGCATCCTCATAGGGAAGCCCCTTAAAGCCACCTCCGGTGCTGCTCAGCACCAATAGCTCCACCAGGACCCTTCCCTTGGCGTTACCTTGCTGAGCTCCTTCTGGTACTGTGGCATCTTCTTCAGCATCTGGGACAGGTCCCTCATGGTGGTCTGTGAGGGAAGGGGACGTGGTCACTCATCCATGGTGACACCAAGGAGGGCGGGCATGATCCTACCAAGCAGCCCCTTTTTGGGGGGTCTTGTTCTCACGCTGGGGGGGTCACTGTTCCCTATTTTCTCAGCTCCCCCTCTAGCCTTCCCCTCAAAAAGGACCCATGGCCCCAGCAGGCTTTGCCACAGCCCTTAATGGTGTCCCCAAGAGCCTTGGCCATGCACGAGCTCCCACTGGGAGATGTCACCTTATCGCCTGTGTTCATCCTCTTGCTTGATGAGAACTCCTTCAGGGACCGGGTCACTTCCCTGGGAACAGGAGGAGGACACAGCCATCAGCACAGAGGGAATCAACCCACAGGGCTGGGTGCTGTGGGGCAGCCCACAGGGACACTCACTGGGACACCTCGGCGATGTGCTTGTGGCGCAGGGAGACCCAGAGGTCATCATCCTCATCCAGGAGAACCTCCTTCACCCGCGCCTCCCCGATGCCACTTGTCTCATATCTGGGAAGGGGAACAAGGCATGGTGGGTCAGGGGGGCATGGAGAGACATGGGGACATGCGAGGCATGGGGTGACACAGGACAGGGTGACATGGAAGGATCATAGAGGGACCACAGAGGGACGTGGGAGAACACGGAGGGACCATGGAAGGACACAAGAGACCATGGAAGGAGGGACTAGAGGGGGCATGGGGTGACATAGTATAGGGCAGCATGGAGGGATCATGCAGAGACATGGGGGGGACACAGGGTGATGCAGGGAAAACATGGAGGGATACGGGGGGGACATGGAGGGACCACAAGGGTCACAGGGGCCACTCAGCTCTGCCAACAGCTGGGTGACACTCCTTCAGCTTGGTGTCACGTCTTGCCACCTTCCACTCGCTTAAAGATTGGGAAAGGGCAATGGGCTGAAGGTGGTCAAAGCTGCCCACGTCAGGAGGGCTGCAAGCACCCAGGTCCCCACCAGTGGCACTCACTCACTTGTAGACATCGTTCTCGATGGGCAGCAAGTCATAGCTCATAGCCTGAAAGGTCAGCTCGTGCAGCACTGGGGAAGCGGGGTCGAAGCCACGATCCAGGATGAGGAGCTGGGAGCGAGCCTTGTCCGGACCCTACAGAGCCACCAGCAGGGCCATCAGCAGGTGTTGGGGTCCCCAGTGCCATCCTGAGCTGATGTACAGCAGTGAGATGCCACCCCATCCCCAACCCCACTCACCTCACCCATAGTGGGGTCATCAGCCTTGTAGGCATCCAGCTTGTCCTGGATGAGCTGCGCCAGCATGGCGTTGTCCTTGTAGTCCCTAGGGAAGGAGGAAAGGACATCAGCCCCTGGCTGTGCAAAGGGTGGGCAGGAGTTGCTGTGATGTTCTTGGCTCAGGGGAGAAATGGGACCTGAGCACCATTTGCTGCTCCTTTTCACCTCTCCTCAGGGAACATGATGCTCTGCTTTCCCTTGGTCTATCCCACAGGAGACACCCCCTGGATTCCAGGTTCTGGAACCCCAGCTCTGCAGAGCATTCCCTGGCTTTAAGTCTTCCACCTGCCAAGCCTGCAGCCTTACCCGCGGTACCGCACAGCTGGGTACTCCTTCAGTGTGGCACACAGAGTGGCAATCTGCTCCGCCAGCCTCTCCAGGATGGGGTTCTTCATCTGCGCCTTGTGAGGACTGTAGAAGCTTTGGAAGGAGTCTGCTGAATCCAGGGAGTAAACCTGGGGAGGGCAGCAGGGGGTGGTCAGAAGGAAGAGGCAGTAGGGACATCCTCATGGGCTGGGACAACATACACCAACCCAAACAGATGTGGGGTTCCACCCCAAACTGGAGAGCTGCGGGGTCCAAATTCAGCAAATTTTGGGGTGTCCTGACCCCCTGCCCTTCCCCTGCTCTTGGACTGCCAAGAAGCCCATCTCCCACTCAACCTCACCGTGACCTTCCCTGGAACCCGATGCCATCTGTCCCTCCCTGTCCCCCTCGTCCCCACAGCACCCGGTGCCCTTGGCAGTGCAGTGCCAGGAGGCAGCACAGCTGCTAAATCCCCACAGTGGATCAGCCCTGAGACATAATCAAAAGAGACAGAGTGTAGGGAGCAGCGCCAGGATGGGGATCGTGGTGTCTTCACAGCTCTTACAGAGACACTGATGGGGGGGGAGAACCCAAGCATCCCCCTCCAGGTCATGTGCAGGGGACATCCCCAGCCCTCACCCACCTGGGACTCAGAGGGCAGGAAGGCAATGTTGATCTCGGTCAGGGTCTTGATGACCTTGGCAGCACGGGACTTCACCAGCTCATTGAACAGGGCATCGGGGCAGGCTGCAGGGAGCAGGGGAAAGCAGTGCTCAGGACAAGGTGGTGGTCAGGCTCCCACGGTCCTGCCCTGCCCCAAGCATCCCTCCTACCCTGCTTTCTTGTGCACGTTTCAGTGGCAGCATCGTCCCCTTTTCTTGGTCTGCACAATGCATTTGCAATGGAGGGATATGATGCCCTGCCCTTGGGAGCAGGGAGCCCAAAGCCCACTTTTGGTATGAAGAAACCTGACCCCCTTCTCCCCTTCTACCTGCCTTCAGTGCCCTGTGGGTTACTCACAGTCGGTGAAGAAGACATGGGCTGCTCTGTACTTGGAGGTGGGGGGGTCCTTGAAGTCACTGATGAGGGAGTGGACAGACTGCAAAAAAGAAGGGAGTGTTGGGGCTGGGCAAGACAGCCTATGTCCAGCCCCACAGGGAACCCTGCAACTTGTGCCACAGCCCCAATACATCCCATGGGCACCACTGCCCATCCCAGTGTGGGCACCCACCACTCTGCCCCAGCTCACCTTCTCAGAGGGTGTGATAAGATAGACAGCCTCCAGGCTGGGCAGCGGCTCCCGGCGCTTGTTGATGTCCTCCACAACTGGGGGGAGGGGGGGGGGCAAAAAAAAGGGTACATGAGCACATCCCACTGCAGTAGAGCCTGTGAGTGTCCAACGCACCCCCTGCCCTCTGCAACCCATGGCTGCCCCATAGAATTAAGAAGCAGCCCTGGGAGGAGCAGTGGGTTTGTCTGTGCGACAGACATTGTGTGAGATGGAGAGGGGTGGCTGCATCCCCCCCACAGCGAGAGATGCACGGTGCTGGTACTCACTTGTGATGCCCTCCGTCATGATGTCGGTCATTTTGCAGCAGGAGGACAGCATGCGCATGCTGAGCTGGTCCACCACCAGCACCTGGGGACAGCAGCCATCAGGTAGGGACAGGGCAGCAGGGAACCACCCCACCTGCTCCCAGTCCTTCCCAGCTCTATCCTTCCAACCCTCCTTCTCCTGCAGCCTTGCTCACCTTCCATTCTCCCTTCTTCTTCACCTTCCGGATCACATCGTGCATAATTTCTGCAAGAGGAAGAGATGGGTTGGGCTGAGCACCCTGAGCCCACCTGCAGCACCCTGGGATGCTCCATTCCCTGGCGATGTGTGGTGGGGGTGTTTTGGAGGCAGGGGTGGGGGGGATCACCCCCAGCACACACACATGGTACTCAAGGGCTCAGAGGGGAGCACTGAGCAGAGCCCAAAAGAGGATGGTAAGGGGATGCGAGGGGTCCCTTTGGGCCACCCACACGCCACAGCCCTAATCCAAAGCACCAGGACAACAACAGCAGCTTAAAGGCTCCTTTTAGAAACAAGAATCAAGCGGCCTCAACCTGCTCCTTGTAATCCCCCACAATCCCATTTTGCATCCCAGCCCTGCACGCTTACACAACCAGCTGGGGGCCATCCCCGTGCTGTCACCACAGGGCCACCCGAGGTGCCAGGGCTGCTCCTATGGGATGGGGATGTCACCTTCGGGGCGGGTGTTGATGGGTCACCGAGGTGTGCAACAATCTGAGCCTACAGAGCTGTGCCCAGTGGTCCCCTTTCCCCAGGCTGCTAGCCCCTACAGAACAGGGATGTGCCACCAAACCACACGGCCAGGCTGGCATCCATCAGCTGCTCCGTCACATCCTCTGCTCAGCGCCGTCCTCCTACAGGGTTCTGCTGATCCCCGGTCCCCAGGGGAGGGATGGGTGCCAGCAGGAACCAAGTTCGGTGACGGACATTTCCGGATCCTGCTGAGGACCTTGCTCTCTCCTCATTACTCATGTTTGGCTCCTTCCCCCGAGCGAGGATCCAGGAATAACAGTGCTGTTTACCAGCACGTCCCACACCCTGCAGCCAGCGCCCCGGCAACCCTGACTGGGGGAGGGAGCGTGGGGCAGGAATCCCAGCCCTGAGAGTGCAGCCATGTTTGCTGCGGGGCAGGGAGGAAGGAAGGAGGCTGGGACAGCATCCTGCATGCAGCCATGGGGAAGGGATGCTCCCATGTCAGCAGGTTGGAGGCTGCAGGGTGTCCTCATCAGCTGGTGATGCTCACAGCCAAGGCTTTTTGTCTTGGAGATAAACCAGGCTCCAGGGGAAAAATACATCTGCAGATCTGATCCGGTGCCTTCAGTGCTTGGCTTGTCTGAACCCACCACAGTGCATCTGCTTCCTTCAGGGTGGAAGGATTTTAATCACAACTTCAGCTGAGAATAGATCTCACAGACAGCTCTGGGTCTATCTTTCAACACAGAGAAGACACCAACACCTCCGGAGAAGGGAGTGCATCCCACCTGCAAATGGACCTCTGTGCAGCACGCTGAGCAATAGACCCAGAAGTGCCATCCTGGGAAGAAAGCAGGCTCCATCTCACTCAGCAGGGCTCCTTCTTGAGGTGACAGTTGGCAGGAAAATGACCCCTGGCATCGTCTTCATGCAGAGCCAGGAGCTGGTGACACGGTGGCCTAATAGGACTGCAGCCCATCCGTCACTTCAAGAAGCTTAGCCTGGGCTGCTGGCACTGAAGAGGCCCCACATCTCCAGTTGGGCATGGGGGGAATGGCTTGAGCCCACCACAGCTTGTGGACACAGATTCATTTCGAGGTGTCCAATTAGCCTGCTTCAGAAAGAGCCTGAGGCTTAACGAGCAGTCCCAGTCCCATGTCCAATGACGAAGTGGCCTTGCCCCATCCAGCACCCCAACCTGGAGCACCTCCTGGTGAGGGATGCTGCTCTGGAGAACATCCCATTTCTGCTTGAGCAGTGCATCCCATTTCTGCTTTACTCAGCACATCCCAGGACCTCATGTGTGGCACACGTTGGCCTTAATGGACGGCAAGGCCCCATAGGACAAGGACAGTCCTACAGGATAAGGACAGTCCTACCCATGGACTTTTCCCCTAGCAAGGCTCAGTCCTTCCATGCCCTCCATTTTGGGATCCAAATCCCAGAGCAGTCCTGGAGTGCTGAATCCCAGAAATCTGGGCTGGAACTGGGTGAGATTTGAGGTCACTCCCAACCCAATCCATTTTAGCACTCTGTGAAACGCGCGGTGAGGTTTGCTCCAAACCCACTTCTCTCCGAGAGCTGTCACGACGCATCTTTGAAACGAAACGTGTTTCCTTCGGGTTGGCCTGGCAACTGCTTTCTGCTGCTTCATTGACTGATCACTTAAGACAGGGTGAGCATTCCATAGACACAACCACGTTGAACGTAGTAGGCAGTGCAATGACCTCCTCATCCGGGCAGCTACAGGTGCCTGCACCATCCTCAAACACCCCTCAAGCAAACAGGCTCTGTGGATGGCAAGGAGGCCATCAGCCTTAGCCAGGGCATAGAAAATAACTTCATTTATGGGATGCAAAGCCTACCTGGCATCTCTCACCATAGCCAAAAGCCATCTTGACCTCAACGAGACGGCTGGAGGGCGCTGTGTTTATAAACCAACAGCTCCAAGTGGTCTTTGCTGCTCCCATAGTGGGCTCCCAATGGGCTGCATGGAGCCCACGCAGCAATGCGCCTTCAGCTGCTCTATTTTTGCTCTCTCTGAGCTCTCTCCCGCATGGCGAGTTGGTGGACACAGCATCTGCTCCTCAGCGTGCAGCCAGAGCCACGTGATGATGACTCTCTTTGCAAATGCTCAGGGATGATCTCGGAGGTCTTTTCCAACCTTAATAATTCTACGATCCCGTGATTCCTCTCAGGACATTTTTTAAGATGGAAAGGCTTCATGTTAGTGCCTTTCTCAGCCTCGTTTCACACGCACACACCAGTGGTTGGGTGCAGGTCTGACGAAGCGAGGTCTGCCACTCTTGGTATGTTCCATGGAGAAGGATGGATGAATATTTCCATGCCAGGGTGCAGACCGTGCTCCATGCCGTGTGGTTGTGGAAGCCATGCAGCCAATGCTGCAGGCAAGGATGGATCCCAAGAGGACAGATGCTGAGGCCTCAGAGGAGGCTTGGCTTCAGTGCCTGCTCCAACCACAAGGATGGGGCACAGAGGTCTCCTCCCTGCCCACCTAGTTGCAGAGCACACCAGGAAGGGCTGGAGGCAACATCTCCATCCTGGTCCTGAACTCTTCATCATCTTCTGCTTGGCTACAGGGCAACACATGTGTTTTGTTGTGCCCCAGAGCATCCTCAGCAGGCAGCACTGTGCCTCTGGCATCCCCCTGTGCCTTAGCAAAGGCAATGGTGCCCCACACAGCCTGGCTGAGTCACGCTCCAACCACGCACACCCCAGGGCCTGGCCATGCCCTGCAGACAGCAGTGTGCCCAGGGAGGTGCCACGCTGTGTGCTGTCTGGGTTAGGGAAGGGGACGTGGCACTGCGGGTCTGGAGGTGCAGCCTGACACCAGGATGCTCCACGGGGGGACCGGCTGCTGTCCTGAGGGCAGGAGGGTCCAGGAGGGCTGTGCTTCCTCCACCCTTGGAGAGAAAAGGATGGCTCTGGGGATGCCTCTCTTCTCCTGCAGGCGAAGGTGCTTCTAGGCTTTCAGAACACAGTGCAGCCCATTGCTGCTGGAGACAGCTCGGTGCAGTGAGCCCACCCTCCTCCTCCTCACGGCTGCAGGAGTGCAGGCACTGAGCCTGGCACCACCTCCTGCAGGATTTTTCCTGTCTGCACTGCCTTCCCAATAGCACTCCCCAGGAGCAGCAGCTCGCCAGGACCTGGCAAGGTGTAGGGACAGCCCTGCAGCACTGCGGGGTGACAAGCAGGGGGGCAAAGGGTGACAACTAGGGGACATGGGGCACCTGTGGCAGCTGTCCTCTTGCTGCCAGCTCCCAGCTCAGGGCCCTTCGGTGCACTGTGGCAGCAGCAGCTCAGGGGAATAATCCCATCCTGGAGGGCTGCCAGGGCAGAACGCAGAGCTGGAGGTGGGGCCGTGCCAGTGCGCAGCATCCTTGCCTCCTGCCCTCCTCCAAGGAACCCCCAGAGAGATGCTGCCCTCGGGTCAGCTGCAGGGCAAGGGCTGGGACCTCCACCCTCAGGAAACATCTCTTCCTCCTCCTCCATTGGGGAATCCATGCCCGAGGGATGCAGGGCTGCAGCAGTGAGTGAATCCCTGCAGCAGTGGGGAGCAGCTCCAGCACCCCAAGGTGGGAGCCGATCACCACAGCCCTCAGAACCCTGGAATCCTATACAGAGGGTGGGGAGCTCTGCAGGGTATGCAGTCCTCCATCCTATGCAGCATTCTGCTGGCACCTCCCGGACACCCCACGGTAGGGCTGTTACTGAACCCCATTTCTCCATCAGCAGGGGTGTTTTGGGGGAGGAATGGGTGGGTTTGTTACAACTGCAGAAGGAAGGACTGAGAGATGTGCACACACACACAGACACTTCCCCCTCCCCTTCCCCTTCAGCACACTGACAACGAATGGAAGTGAAGGGACATGCAGTGCCCCCGCTTCAGCTATGGGGGGGGGGGGGCATCAGCCCCACTGAGCTGCACTGGGGGTCCCCTTTACCTCCTCAAAGCCAACCTTGCAGCACAGCAACCGGGAAGTGGGGTGGGGAGGTTGGATGTAGGAGGTTGGATGTAGGAGGACACATCTCCCTGCATTTGTCCCTGCAGCCCCAATGATGCAGCTGCGGGAGCACAGCAGGGC